GTGGAGAGCCAAAGAAATCAACAGGGCAAGATGGTGGACAATCAAACAGCGAATAAGACAAATACTTAAAGAAAAGAAAGAAAAAAAAATTCCCAGTTCAGGAACAGTAGAATTTCAGTCTTAATAGTTCTGGTATCACTCCTTTAGCATCCAGTCCTGTTGTCTGCGTCTCCTAGGCAAGTGGAGAAGCTTTTTACGGGTTGGGGGTTCGGGGTTTCGGAGTTTTGTTTCTTCTTTTTGGGTTTTTGTTTTTTGCCAAGGTGTGGCTCCAGAAGGAAAGTATATGTTTTGGTCTGCTGAAGTCTCCCCAAGCTACGTTTGGAAGCTGGCAGCCTTCAGGCTGGTGGGCGGGTGTTAGCAGGCCTGTGGGCAGATTGTTCTATTTTAAGAAGGCTATGAACACTCATTTTGAGCTTCCTTTATTAACTTATTTATCATAGCATACTCTTTTGTTTAATTTAAATCATCTGCTGAGTAAAAGTACTCTTCTTTAAAGCTAATCTACTAGTAGAACTTTTTCCTTTTCAGCACACATAAGTGATTTTGTATTATCTACAATTTCTTTTCATCTCCTGTGTTCTTTCCTCTTGTCATTTATTCTTTCTGGCCACCTAGTTAAGAAAAATTTTTTTTATCGTGCAACTATTTATTTTGTGATGTTGGAGGGAGATTTTGAAATCCAGGTCCTAGCAATACTGCACTCAATCACTGAGTTACATCGAGCCCCCTTGCAAATTTTATATAGCTGAATTGCACAAGTTTGTGTTTTTATCTCCATGTCTTTTATCATTTCTTCTAGCTTTGCCAGTTTGAATCCTACCTATGGACTGTTACTGACTCCAAACTGACTTAATTTACAGATCCTTCTCTGTATTCTGCTAAAGTGCTTAATATTACTTAGATGTTCATTTATAAACTATTGTATCAAGATTATTTTTCTCATGTGCATTATTGCTTGAGGAAATTAGGAAAAACATACATATGGAAAAAAGAATATAAAGAGTATTTATCTCTCTGTCCATCTAAATGTAACCATCACTATCTTTGGTATTTATCATTTCAAATCTTTTCATGTTAGTTGATTTGATGGCTTACATGGTACATATATCTGTTACTCTGCTGGAGGTTTTTTTTTTTTTTTTGCATTATTTGGGGTTTGAACTTGGGCCTCAAGCTTGCTAGGCAGATGATCTCACCATTGACCCACCATCTTTAGCCACCATTTCTTTTTCCTAGACAGGGTCTTGTTACATAGTTATGTTGGACTCACTCTGTAGACCAGGCTGGCCTCAAACCCATGATCTTCTCTGCCTCAGCCTCCATTTGGTATGAATCACATACCTGGTCAACCTACTTTTGGTTAAAAAATGAAATAAAAATCCTTAATATATGTGTCAAATATATTTAGTGTGTAGATGGATACTATCCTATTGGCCTTTTTTTTTTTTTTTTTTTGAGGTACTTGGGTTTGAACTCAGACCTATACCTTGAGTCACTCTACCAGTCTTTTTTGTGAAGGGGTTTTTTGAGATGGGGTCTTGCAAACTGTTTGCCTGGGGCTGGCTTCAAACTGTGATCCTCCTGATCTCTGCCTCCTGAGTAGCTAGGATTATAGCAGTGCCATCAGCACCCCAGTGGCATTTGTTTTTAATAGGTTTTTGACATATCACTTCTTCCTCCTTTAATACACTTTCTTTACTTGGCTTTGAGCTCTGGTGAATGTAGCCTGTGCATGGCCCTGAGCTTACATTCTTAGCCCTGTGATTTTCTTTCCTCACTTCTCTTGATTTTCTACAACACTCTTGATTTTCTTCCTACCTTCTTCCTACTTATTCCTGCCTCACTTGTCTCTCCTTTCTTAAGGTTGACATACCTCAGGGCCTAGTCCTTGGTTCTCTCTTGCTTCCAATTCAATGGTCATCCAATATCATCGCTCTAAATGCTTGTCTTTATAGACGTGACTTCGCAAATGGAGGTGGCAAGAAATGCTCATTTTTAGTTAAATAATGAAAAAAGTGCTAGAGTTCTCCTGAATTCCAGTTTTGTCCATCCAGCTGCCTGCACTAGGATATCTAAAATAGAACTCTGGATCTTATACTACACATCGTTTTCTCTATCTGAACGATCACTCTGTTTGTACTTTCTAGTTTCCCAGGCCCAAAATCATTTTTCACTAAGCTTCTGTTGTTACCGTGTGTCTGAAGGCACCATCATATTACCTAGATTACACAGTGGCCTCTTACTGGTCTTCTTTCTATCGCTGTCCATAAAAGTTTGAGTAGTTGGTTCTTGTCATTCTGCTAAAAATGGCTCACCATTTTAATTAACTACAAGAAATTAACAGCTCTTCTTTCAAATACTTCTTGCTTATTCACTCCATTCCTGTCAGCCATATTCTTAATTTAGGGCCCTCTGGAATGCTTTTTCCTCCAGGTAAGCCTTGGACTTGTTCCTTATGTCATTTCAATCTTGTTTATGTTACCTTTTTAAAAGTTAATTGGTGTCCCTATTTAAGTTGTACTTTTCCCTCTATGCCTTTTTTTATTTTCTCTGCTCTTTCTTTACTGAATAGCACATACTGCCTTCTAACAGAGAATAGGATTTACTTATTATAATTACATAAGAATCATAATGTCTTCTTCCAGTAGAATGTTAAATCCATAGGAGCAGAATCTATGTTTTGTACAGTTCTTATGCCTGGCATATAGTAGGTGTTTTTACATTTGAATATTGAGTCAGTCTTTAGTTTTTTTCCCTAAGGATGGATTTCTGGGATATATCTGTAGAATCAACACATATATTCCATGTTGAAAACTTTAAATATAGTTTGCTGGAGGTGTGGCTGAAAATGGTAGAGCACTTTCCTCACACAGTGTGAAACTTGAGATTTCAACTCCATTATGGGATTTTTCCCCTGCTCTAATTCCCTGTGTAACACCTCTACCAATTTAACTGATTTGTGATAGATAGGTATATAGTTAGTATTATATCTAAAATTGAATTTTTCTTTCATAAATTTTTAACTCACGGGAAATATGACCATTTACTCATCTTTTACAGGTAGAAATTCAAACTTTCTTGGATTTTTTTCCACTTTTTCTATTAACATGTTAAAATTCTGCACATTGTTTTTTTCTTCCTTCTCTTAACTAGTCTCTCTTCATTTCCTAATGAAGAACATAAGTTCTTTACTCTAGAACGAGTAAGAACATACTGATTTGTGCATATCTGATTTGTGGTAGATAAGGGTTTTTAATTTGCATATCTGATTTGTGATAGATAAGTTTTTTGTGTTTAGTTTATAAATGTAGCTGCCTCTTAAATGTTAAGAGTGAGTGGAAGTGCTTGCTGGAATGCTACTTTGTGGATTAATTACAGTTTAGTTGGGTTATCCTTCTGTGGAATAAAGACATGAACTTAGTATGTTTCTTTTCTTTTTTCTTCTTTTTTTTTTGTTGTTTTGTTTTGAGATGGGATCTTGCTATGTAGCCCAGGATGGCTTGTGAAATCATTTTGTCTTAGCCTCAAATGTGCTGGAATAACAGGCAGGCACTATCATCTCTTTCTTTTTACTTTTTTTTTTTTTTTTTTTTTTCGTTTCCTTCCTCTTCCCTCCCTCTTTCCATTTCCCATTTCCCCTTCCCCTTCTCTTCATTTCCTTTTTTTTGGGGGGATAGGGTGTTTGCCATGACCTCAAACTCATGATCTTCCTGCCCTCACCTTCCCCAAATGTTGGGATCATGGTCATTACCAAGGCTTTTAGAATGCAGTTTTCTCATATGCTTGGGACATGACCATATAAAATTTCCCACTAGGTTTTCTAATGCTGCTTTGTTAGCAATCAGCCTATTGGGGAACAATATCACCCTGTAGAAATAACCCTGCAAGCCATAGAGCTTTTCTCATAGCTACTTCATTACTAATGAGATTTGACAACATTGTAACATTTGTATGTAATTGTATGTAGCAAGACTCTTTCTTGGTTGCTATGTGATCATCTCTTATGGTCTTGTTATATAGGGCTGATAGGACAACTGGATTAAACATCTTTTTAAAAAGGGATATCTTGAAGAAAAGTCAAAACTTCAGCTTTGAGGTGACCTTGATGTGCATTGAGCATGTGACAAAATATTAAATAAAAATTTATTGATTAAAAAAAAATGCTAGGATCACATGCATGCACCACCCTGCTGAGCAAAATATAGCCCAGGCTTGTATTGAACTCCTCCTGCTTCATACTATTAGCTCATTGATAACTGGAGTGTACCACTATAACTGGCCCTTTTTTTTTAATTAAGGAAATAAAAGTGGGAAATAGTTTTGAATATTGAGAAGAAGAATATAAATTAGTGCTGAGTCAATGATAAGTTGAATATCAAGTTGGTGGTATGGTAGAGAATCAGTAATAGTTTCTTTGCCAGTTATGGAGACATGTCCTGCCACATTTTATAAGTTTCTGTTCATCCTTAGAATTCTGTGTCCAAATTAGCCTTTTCTTTTGAGACAAGCTCTCACTCTGTAACCCAGGCTTTAGTTTTAGTTGCTAGGATAGAGGGGTATGTGTGCTCCATCATGCCTGGCTCCAAACTAGGTCTTATGAGACACTTTTATAGCTATTTCATATTTTCCCCTAAATCCTCTTAAGTGTGCTTACTTTTGACTTGTGTGTAATGCAGTACTATTTCTGTTTATTGTTATTGTCTTCTTTTTGTCTTATGTATGCATGTATTTCTTTAGATTATAAACTACTTGAACAGAAATCATGGTTGGTTTACTCAGGCTGTGTAATGCCATACAAGTACTAGTTGATGATGACTTTTTATGCTGGTAGTTATTGAAGATGATACCTTTTTTGTGTATTATAGCATGAGAATCAGGATAATACTTTAATTCTAGCTTTTGTAAAATAATTGTTATGGCCTAAGGTACTTTAGAGTTTTTTTCTATTTTAAAGTTTTACATAATATATTAAGGAGGGAAAATTAAGCATAATGTTTTCTCAATCTCTTTCAGCATTTGCTCTTGCAAGAATTAATTGAAATTCATTGTCTGCTTACTTCTCGTAATGTTGGTATTAGAAGAATACAGATCAAATTGGTAAGAAAATACATAGAGAGGTTTAAGTTTTTATGAGTAGTAAAATTTATTGGAAAAAATCAGAAAATAAAGATCAAAATTACCTGGTGTCTTTTCAATCCATTGTTAAAAGTTTTTTCACATTCTTTTCTATGCTTATGTGTAGTATGTATATACATGTATGAATACATTTTGCTCCTTAATCTCCTATTTCCCTTTGACAGTACATTGTAAACACATGACATAGTTAATCTACAGTGTAATTGCAGAGTGGTTTATTGACTATGGTGTTAAGTTCTATAATCAGTCTTGTATTGTTGAGCATAGATTTTTTTTTCCCTATATTTTTGCCATTAGAAGCAGTGCAGAAGTGATTATTGTTATATGTTCTTATACACATCTTTGTTTCCTTAAGTTCTAAGATTTTTTGATAGATACCACTGAAGTGCCTTTTAGAAAGTTTTATTACTTTATATTTCTACCAGCAATGTATGAGTGAGCTTGTTGAATCACTTTTCATACTTTTTTCATATTTTAAATACTGATTTGATTTTCCTGTCTTTGAATTTATTTTGTTTCATAGCTTTTTGAATGAACACAAGGAAAACCTGCTGTTGCAGTGATAGATAATGGAAGAGGAATGACCTCTAAACAGCTTAACAACTGGGCCGTGTATAGGTTGTCAAAATTTACAAGGCAAGGTGACTTTGAAAGGTTAGCAAATCTTACTTTTTTTAATGGGTAGCTGTATATTTTTAATAAGAATAAGAACTCTTAATACGCCTTTAGGTACACATAACACATTAGAAAGTTTGATGTTACCAGCATATTTATTTAGGTTTAATTACAGAATTTTTGTGATAATACTCACAATAGAGCTACATAATATTGTGGTCTTTCATTGAACGGTTCTTTTGGATTTCCTGAGGTAAGGAGTTACGTTGATATGTTAGTACCTTGGAACTCCCCTTTACTTTTCTTTTAAGTAGTATAAAAACTGTTCAGTCTCTAGAGCAGTAAAATAGGTTTTTTTTAATGTCAAGATTAATTCTTTAATTAGATATCTTTTATTGTATGAAGTATTAAAGAAAACTGAGAATAGAGAAGGTACAATGTTTAATTCACACATAGTTTATACTTCTTGTCCTAATGTAATCTTCCAGTGTATTCTTTTCATGTTTATTCATGTCAACGCAAGTAAAACAGTTTTAGAATCACTTCACATCACTTACAAAATGTCTAAAATTGCATGTGGTTCTTTCAAAACTCTGTACTGCTCAATTTCAGATTTTGTTTTTCAAAATATTCACAGTTATTTGGGAGTAGAATACAGTTTTGTATCAGAATAATGCTTGTAGAAAATGTCCTAAATGAGAATGTCATAGAGAAAAACAAAATATGCTAAAAGCTGTCAGAGATACAAATACTTAGATTCTTGAGCTGTTAGTAGCACTCTAGCAAGAAAGCTTTGCCTCACAAGTCTTTTGATACTGTAAGTTATATACTTCAAATAACATTCTTGGGAAGAATATTGTCATTTTGTTAGAAGGTAGTATTCATAACCTAATTTTGCTCTTTGCTATGCCAAGAAGTCACCACACTTAAGGTTCAGTCTTAATAATGTGTTAAAGTTAAATAGTTATCACATATGCCTGCTCATTTCTGAAATTCAGCACCTTTATAATTTTCATCAAATTTGCAAAGGCTTCTAGTACCCCACCCCACACTTTTTTAATGGTTGTGGGGATTGAATCCAGGGCCTCATGCATGCTAGGCAAGTACTCTACCACTAAGTTGTACCCACCAATCCTTCCAGTGCCATTTTTGAGAGAGAGCATAGCAAAGAACAAGGACTGGTATTATTTGGCCTGGTTTGAATTTTAGTCTTGCCACTTACAGTTTGTGTGTCATCAGTTGAGGTACTTTTTCTTTTGTGTCTCTGTTTGCATACTTAGTGGAATAATAATACTTCACAAAACATAAAAATTTTGTGAAGACTATGTTAGGAAATGTCACATTTTTTAGCTAGACCCTGTCATATAGTAAGCAAACAATAAATACAAGCTGTCCTCTTGCTTATTCCTGACATAAGACTTTTCTGTAACCATTCTTTTTCTCTATTTTCATGAATCCATGACACTTAAAGGATTTACAAAACAGACAAAAAGAAAGCAAAGACTACTTTTTTTTTTTTTTAATAGTCTAAGTAGACTATTTGGCATGTGAGCAATTAGGTAAAAGAGAAAGGAAAACATAAATATTTGGCAAAGAAAAAAAAAGCCAGAAAAGTAGAAAATGCCATCTTTACTGGATTCTTGGGACACTGACTGGTTTTTCTCTGGATCTTAACACACATTTTGAAACTTCAGTCAAATGTTAGGGAAATTTAATTTCTGGTAAAAATGTTTTGTTGCTGTTTTTGACCTAGCTTTATAGGATATGTCGGTGAACAATTCATTGGTATATTTTCATGCTGTCTTTGAATCCAGTATTAAGTCCCTTGACTCACTCTAATTTCTGCAATGTCAGATGTAATCCTCAGCTCCCTACCTTATATCATTTTCTTGAGAGAGTCTTGCTGGATAGCCTAGGCTGGCCTGGAACTCACTGTATAGTCCAGGCTGGCCTAGAACTTGTGAACCTCCTGCCTCCTTCCGAGTACCTAAGTACTGACAGCAGTGCACTACCATACCCAGCCTCTTAGTTTCTACTATAGAAGAAAGTATTAGTTATTTTACTGCTTCTGGTTCAGTTTTTACTTGATACAAGGATGAATGTTATCGAAGACAGGCTATGGAAGAAAAGGCTCAAAGTATAAAACATCTGACAGCTTTGTCTATAACTTACTTTGTAATAGTGAGAAAAACAGAAGTAAACATAAAAATATTTATAAGCATGTTATTTAGTTACTGATTAGTACTGTGGAGAAAATGTAGAGTAATATGAGAAAACTCACAGACCTCTCCTTTAGGTAAGGTGTTAGAGAAAAGACTTCTTTGATACTACATTTGAGTGGAAATGTGAATGGCTAGAAGAAAGCAGCCAACTAAAATCAAGGGAAGAGTATTGCAGTAGAAAGGAAACAGGTAAAGGCAAAGATTCTGAAATGGTGACAGTCTTGTTTGAGGGACAGAAAGGAGACAAGTGTGGTTGGAGTGTAATACAATGAAGGGTAGAATCAAGGGAGTAAGAGTTTTAATTGACCCTGTAGGTTTGTTTTTTTTTTTTTTTACAGGTGGTATTGGGGTTTGCTAGGCAGGTGCTGTACCACTGGAGCCACTCTGTCAGCCATCTTACTTTAGATAACTCTTTATATTTTGTTTCCATGTAACTTTTCTGGACTGGGTATATGACTCAAGTGCTAGAGGTCTTGTGTAGTAAGCCCAAGGCCAGGAACTTAATCCCTAGTACTACTAAAAAAAAACAAACAAAAAATCCTGGGCTGGAGGTTTGACTCAAGTAGTAGAGGACTTTTCTAACAATGCAAGGTCCTGAGTTCAAACCCCAATACTGCAAAATTTCTTTTCCAGTTAATCAACTGCTTTGTTTCATAAAGATAAAAAACTTTTATTATATGATGAATGTGTTTTCTGAAATTCTTTTGGACTTTGATGTATATTTTTTCTGAGGAAGATAACTTTTTTAAAAAAATTTTGGCAGCACTAGAGATGACTTTCTTAATTTTTCAGAGGATTGCCGTGATGCCAATTGTTCCTTAAAAATCTTAGATAATTTTTTTACTTTTATTTATCTTCCTGAAGGGATATTTATATTAAGTCTTGAGTGTGGATATAGGAATTTTTTGAGACTCATTGACACAAGCTTGAGACCTACTTTAAATCTGTATTTTCAGTCATATTTGATGAGGTAGAATCATCCTTTAGTTTAGATTTGATGAATGATGGTTTGGATTGAGAAGGGAGACTTACTACATCATGACTGTGGAGTGTCCATTCCTAATCAGTGAAGAGAATTCTTTAGATTTGCATCAGTTTAAGTATGTGTTATCTTTTTATCAGTGACCTTCTCTCTCCTTGAATTTTTGTGTACTTTCCCACAGTAAAGGAAAATATAATGGTTATTTTCAGCTTAATTTGTAGAATTATTACCATAGTAAATGAATATTTAGAGCCCACTTATTCTGGTTGTTTTTTTTTTTAAGTTATAAAAAGGTTTATTTTAGAATAATGGTATAGAGTTAGGGGAAAGTAAGGAAAAGTCTTGGAACCCTAATTATTAGACAAGGTGGTGTTTTTCTTAATGAATGTTAATTCATAACTCTAGAAAGTGGGTTGTATCTCACAAGTTTCAATATGCTCTGTTTTCACTTTCATACAATTACGTGTTTTGTTTTTCTTTTTGAGACAGAGTCTCACTATGTAATCCAGGCTAATCTGGACTTTCAGTCTTCCTGCCTTAGCCTCCCAAATGCTGGAATTACAGGTGTGCCCCATCATGCAACCACTTTAGTTCAATTTTTTTTTTTTTTTTTTTTTCAATTTCCCTTGTAGCTTGCTCTTTGACCATGGATTAGTTTAGGAGTGTATTAATTTCCAAGTGTTTGTATAGTTTGTGATTTGAATGTGTTGTCATTCTTATCTTTGTATCTCAGTACATATTTGTTTTTCTCTGTCTCCTTTGAAGTTTTCTTTTAGTATTGTGTTTTATTTTGATTATTCATATATGGCACTCGGACTTTTAATGCCAATTAAAATATTTTTTCTGTCTCATTCTTTATTTTCTCTTTTTTAAAATTTGTTCCATTTTTTTGCCACTTTTTTTCTCACTATATGTTTTTTTTCTAATAATTTTAACTTATGTATTTATGTGGTTCTTGTCCTAGAAATTTTATGATGCATATTTAACTTCAGAATTCCTCTTGAATTAAAGAATATGGAACACTTAAATTGTGATCCCTCCCTTTCCAGAATAATACTTTTATTATTGAAAATAATTTGTCTGACTTTTTAGAAATACCACAATTTATATACTCTATATTTCCCTAACCACACCAATTTTTTTTTTTTTTGGTGGGGGGAGAAGGGAGGAGGGTTTAAATTCAGGGTTTTGTGTTTGCAAAGCAAGGTGCTCTACCTTTTTGAGCCACACCTCAAGTCCTTTTGCTGTGGTTATTTTGGAGATGGGTCTCTCGAACTATTTGCCCAGGGTGGCCTCCCAAGTATTTAGGATTATAGGTGTGAGCCACTCATGCCCGGCAACCACACCATTTTTTAACTTACTGTTATTAAAAATCAATCACCTGTATGTACCATAATACATTAACTTTTTGTATGTCAGATTGTGCTTGTAGGAGCATTCTTTTAGAAAAGATCTCTTCGTGCTAATTCATTTGGTTTTTAATGTGTAAATTCATTTCATTCTACTTAACAGTTTTCTGACCCTCTTTTACTGTTGCTGCTAAGGTGGCTAACCTGTTTGCTCTTGACTGACCTTTTAGCCTGTTTTCTAGTTCTTTTTTTTTGTTGTGGATGTGTGTTTGTGTATTTCCAAGTGATTATAGTGATGTGGGTTTCTTTTTTATTTGTCTTTTCTGGGCTCCATTGGTCTTCTGGATCTGTGGAACCATATTTCTCATTGGTTCCAGAATCTTTGCAGGTATTACCTATTTCCTCTCTCTTCTTGGTAAAGAACTACATTTAAACTTGAGTGAGATATTTTTGTTTGGTCACACATATCTTTTAATTACACTTTGATATTTCAGTTTTCCTTTTTTTCCCCCTTAGGGGTAAGTTCTTTGACTGTATCTTTTCTATTCTCTGGTTTTCTCCAGCTATGTCAAACCTGTTTGATAACCTTCCCATTGTGTTTAATAGTGGTTCCAGCCTCACCGCCAATTCTGTTCATCTCTGATATTGGGAAATGCTATCCCCAGTAACCTTGCTATATTTGAAAGATATTGGGTCTTTTCTCTAGAGTGTAGTTATTTTGCATTGGTTGGTTCCCTCAGGTCTTCATTTGTCATGGTACGTTTAAGTGAAAAATTCCTTTGCTCTAATCCCCATTATTTTTCCACAAATAGTTTAACAAGTTTTAAAGTTACAGCAAACAATTTATTTTTAGCAAACATTTTTAAGGGAAAGTTCTAGAGGCATAAAAATATTAAATGTAAGAATATTTTTTAAAATCTTATTTGCTGGATTAAAAAATGTGGTATCTATCACAATGGAATTTTATGCAGCCATGAAGAAGAACGAAATGTTACATTCGCTGTAAATGGATGGAATTGGAGAATATCATTCTGAGTGAGGTTAGCCTGGCCCAAAAGACCAAAAATCGTATGTTCTCCCTCATATGTGGACATTAGATCAAGGGCAAACACAACAAGGGGATTGGACTTTGAGCACATGATAAAAGCGAGAGCACACAAGGGAGGGGTGAGGATAGGTAAGACACCTAAAAAATTAGCTAGCATTTGTTGCCCTTAATGTAGAGAAACTAAGCAGATACCTTAAAAGCAACTGAGGCCAATAGGAAAAGGGGACCAGGAACTAGAGAAGAGGTGAGATCAAAAAGAATTAACCTAGAAGGTAACACACACACACAGGAAATTAATGTGAGTCAACTCCCTGTATAGCTATCCTTATCTCAACCAGCAAAAACCCTTGTTCCTTCCTATTATTGCTTATACTCTCTCTACAACAAAATTAGAAATAAGGGCAAAATAGTTTCTGCCAGGTATTGAGGGGATGGGGGGAGAGGGAGGGGGTGGAGTGGGTGGTAAGGGAGGGGTGGGGCAGGGGGAGAAATGACCCAAGCCTTGTATGCACATATGAATAATAAAACAATAAAAAAATAAATAAAGTAAAATCTCATTTGCTGAGATATTTGGCAGCTTGAATATTTAGACACTTCCAGGAAATCTGATGCAGCTGGTAAGGGAGGTGGCTATACTTTGAGAACCATTGAAGTTGGTAACATCTTGACTTTTCAGTTCTCATTGTTTTTTTCAATAGGGGCAGTAGCTGGCTTGGGATCATTTTGCTAACATTAATAAACATACTAGCTTCCTTTAGCACTTAAGTAGATTGTTTAAACTCATTACAATAATGTTTTATTTTAGTGATCATTCGGGATATGTTCGGCCAGTACCAGTACCACGCAGTTTAAATAGTGATATTTCCTATTTTGGTGTTGGGGGCAAACAGGCTGTTTTCTTTGTTGGACAATCAGCCAGAGTGAGTAAAAATATTTCTTATAAATGAAAGCTGGTCATAATATTTTGAGGTTGACCAATTTTAACTGTTAAGAATTTTTAATGTACTGTTTTAAATATTTGACAGATGATAAGCAAACCTGCAGATTCTCAAGATGTTCATGAGCTTGTGCTTTCTAAAGAAGATTTTGAGAAGAAGGAAAAAAATAAAGAGGCAATATATAGTGGATATATTAGAAACAGAAAGGTACATTTTAAAACTTATAATTATGAATTTACTCTGTTGGTCAGCTTATAGGACAGAATTTTTTTCTAATTTATTACTAAGATGTCAGTGTTATTTTATTCATTTTGTTTTTTTGAGACAGGATCTCAGTTTCATGCTGGTTTGAAATTAGCCATTTATGGCCCAGGCTGGTCTTGAACTTAGGGTTCTCCTGTCTCAGTATCCCAAGTGCTGGGAATATAGGTGTGTATGGCCATGCCCAGCTTTCAATTTATTTTAAAATACTTGAATACAAGTGTAATCAAGGGGAAGGAGAGGGAAAGGGAAGGGAGGGGAAGCTCCACTTCCAACATTGTGTATTGAAGTGCCTACTGAATCATTTCCTCATTTTTACAAAGACTGAGAAGGAGACACTGGTACAGTGGCTCCACTTGTAATCCTAGCTATTTGTTAGGCTAGATCTGGAAAATCACAGTTTAAGGCCATCCTGGGATAAAGTTGTGATTTCCATCTTGACCAATAATAAACTACGTGGTATTACCTGTCTATTATTCCAGCTACACAGGAATGTAAATAGGAGGATTATGGTCCATCCTGGCCTTGATGTAGATTTGAGACCCTCTTTTGAAACTTATCTAAAGCACAATTAATGCTGCTGTGCTCAAGTGGTAGAGCTCTGTATAGCAAGCCCATGATGTACTACCATTAAAAAAAAAAAAAAAAAAGAATGAGGAGAAAAGTCAGCAAACTGTTGGCAATTTGATTGTGAAACCTTTCATTACTTGTAGATTGAATTTTTTTTTCCATGTATATTAGCCACTTTTTATTTCTGTATAACTTAACATTCCCTCTGTCCAGGAAATTACTTTTTGTTCAATCCCACTTTTACTCCTTATTAAATTTTGTTGCATTTATTTAACAAGGTGTGTATTTTAATATATTTACCTAACTTCCATCTTTCCATCTTATTTTACCATCACAAAACTGTATAAAATCTATTGGTGGAAGTATTACTTGCTATGTTAAAACATGCAAAAAAATAGAATTGAGAATTTAAGCAATTTAAGAACTCTATGCACATTGTGAAGCTTGGATAGAACCTGAGTCTCTGGATCACCTTTTATCTCTCAGCTTTTCCTGTTGTTTTTGCTAAGTTCATTCCAACAGTTAATTCATAGATACTAATAGGTACTTCATCCTTTGTTTTGTTTTGTTTTGCCATGCTGGGAGTTGAACTCAGGGCTTACACCTTGAACCACTCACCAGCCCTTTTTTATGATGGGTTTTTTCAAGATAGAGTAGCTAGGAGTAGAGGCGTGAGTCACCAGTGCACGACTTGTTCCTTTTCTTGTTGTGAACAGTTCTTTCCAGTGTACATTTGTTGGACTCTATACTGACCTGTTAGCAGTTTTCAGAGTGGTGTGGGTTTTTTTTTTTGGTTTTTTTTTTTTGGCATACTGGATATTGAACTCTCACACTTGGTAGGCAGTCATTCTACTTCTGAGTTACTCCACCAGCCGCGTGTGGTGTGTGTGTGTGTGTGTGTGTGTGTGTGTGGTGTGTGTTGGTGTGGGTGTGTGTGTGTGTGTGTGTGTGGTGTGGTGTGTGTGGTGTGGTGTGTGTGGGTGTGTGTGTGGTGTGTGTGTGTGTGGGTATTTTCAAGATAGAGTCTTGAGAACTAATTGCCTGGGCTAGCTTCAAACCTCAATCTTCTTTTTAACACTTTGAAGCTGGTCATTCAGTGCCTTGCATGATAACAGAAAACCTTTAAAAAAATTTTTTCAGGAAAATGGCCTCAATTTTGACATCCACATCTTTGAGTAATATATCTGGTTGCTGAAAACAAATTTGTAACCATAACTATAAGGTGGTAATTTTTTGACTTTCCAAGTTTTGGTTTAAAATTGTAACCATAACTATAAGGTGTACTTTTTTGACTTTCCAAGTTTATATTCCAAAAAGACAAAATAAAAGATGGTAGGAATGGGTGATAAATACCAACTGATTGCACCCAACACACCCATACTTGGTTCATGTAGATGTCTTCCCCATGTGTTCCAAAAAAAAATTTTTTTGGCATATTTAAAATCAAACACTACTTATAAAACTTTATTGTCTTTTTCCCCTCCTCCCCCCTACTACCCTTTTCATTAATAGCATTCCCTAACCATTCCATTGGAATTAGTAATCATTGTGGTTAACTGTTCACCATATTTTATCTGTTTTAAAAATTGTTTCTTTCATCTACCCCTCTTTAAGACAGTCTTTTATGCAGTCACATGCTGGCCTGGAACTCACTGTATAATCCATGCTGGCCTTGAATTCAAGATCCTTCTGCCTCAGCCTCCTGGGGTGCTGGGATTACAGTTTGTGCCTCCCACACTTGGCTTAAGCCTTTTTTAGAGGGGGTGTGTAAACTGGGCTTGAGCTCAGGACTTTATGCTTGCTAGGCAGCTGCTCTATTTGAGCCATGACTCCAAGCCTTTAAGACACTTTTAAATCAGTATTTTATCATTACCTTTTTCTTCATGATTCTAGAATTTATTTGAATTTATGAGAATGGCATTCTTTCTGTATGCCAATTTAATTGTGTAAGTGAAAGTTGTCCTGCCTTATGGTATTGTTGGAGACTTCATCTGGTTTTGTTTATTGGACCAGTTTCCTCCAACAGTTTTTCTGAAAATTGTTATACAATCTAAGGAGTCACGTTAAAATTTATTATAGTTACTAGCATAATTATAATTTAGATGATTTAATCTGTTGTATTTGTATTCATTTTTGTAGCCATCTGATTCTGTCACATTACAAATGATGATGAAAGATTTCTACATAATCTTATCATAGAAGAAAAGGAAAAAGATAGCTTTACTGCTGTGGTTATCACAGGGGTACAAGCAGAACACATACAGTACTTGAAAAATTACTTCCATCTTTGGACACGGCAGTTAGCGTAAGTATATTTTGTTCAGGAAATGCTGCTATTTATCTTTTGAAAGAAAATATTATAGATACATTGAAACTTTTTTGAGTGTCCTTTTTGTCCCGTTTCATTCCCTTCAGTGTAGTATGTGGTACTCTGATGTTTGTGTTAAAATAATCTTATCCTCACTCACTAATGCCGTAACTATTATAGATCATCTGAATTGTACTGAGCATTAATTGGAGGCACAGAGTTTTTGACAGCCATTATAAAATTTAAAATGAGCTTCATAATTTGTTAAATTCAGTCTCACTGAATGTCTTTTAATTCACTGCTGTATCCACAGTGTCTGGAATAACTGCTACATAGTAAATGCTCAATAAGTGTTTATCAAATGAAAGCATCCAGTCCATAAAATAAAAATATATATATGTACCTTTATGACATACTGATAATAACTGAAAATAAATCATTGTATGTTTATTCCAGCAAAAATTTCTGAGTTGCTTATATCCCATTAGTCCAAATCAGAAGAATATTTATAGACTATGTTTACTTTTCTTTTTTTGGAGCGTAGTGTAGTTTTAACTTGGCCTCATGCTTGCTAGGCAGGTGTTTCTCACCTGCCTAGCAATTTTTTGCTTTAGTTTTCAAATAGGGTCTCTCATTTATGCTTGGGCTGCTCTGGACTGCAATCGTCCTACTTATGCCTCCTTTGTAGTTGGGTTGATGACAGAGCACACCACCATGCCCAGCTTTTTTTGTTAAGATGTGAGCCTAGCTAACTTTTTTCCTGGACTGGCCTTGAACCGTGATCTTCCCAATCTCTACTTCCAGAGTAACTGGTATTACAGGTGAGCTACATACCATTTGTTGGATTGTTTTGTTAATTTACATTTAGTCTGAAAAACTGAGTCTTGAAATGGGTACATCTGCACAAAATTCATATTTTTAAAAACCTTTCCATATTTATCTCGGAGGCTATTATACTCAATATTCTCTATATATATGTTCATATAAATAGGGTTTAAAATTTTTTCTTTTGTAAGTAAATACAGTGACTTTTTGGAGTACCTTTCTTGAATATTGCTGTTTATTGCCTGAAAAACTTATGTAAGACATTGGATTTTTTTCTTAAGTATTTATTTTATTAGCTGTATGTATTTATTTGCTTATTATTTATTTACTTAGCTGTACTGGTTTTTGAACTCAGGGTCTCCTGCTTGCCTTGTACTCTAGCTGAGCTACTCCCCCAGTCCTTTTTGCTTTTAGTTTGTTTTCAGATATTGGTCTCATGCTAACTTTACTTAGGCTAGTCTTGAACTCCAATCCTCCTACCATTCCTAGACAGGGTCTTGCTAACTTTTGCTCTGGCTGGCAGCAAATGCTTGTCTTCTTAGCTTTTTTTTTTTTAATTCATATGTGCCTATGTTGTTTGGGCCATTTCTTCCCCTGCCCCCTGCTTACTAGCTTTTTATAATTAAAGTTTCTTTCTACTGAAGGAGCTCAGTATGGCCAGGGCATGGTGGTACACATCTGTAATCACAGAGATCAGAAGGATTGCAGTTCGAGGCCAACCTGGACAAAAAAAACTGTGGTATGACCCTGTCTTACCCAACAAGCCAGGCATGGTGGTACTCATCTGTAATCCAAGCATTAAGAGAGGCATAAGTAGAAAGATTGTGATCTGACACTGGCCAGGGTAAAATTCAAGACTATCTGAAAAATAACTAAAGTAAAAAAGGCTGGGGCATGGTTCAAGTGTTAGAGCACCTGCCTTGCAAGTGCAAGACCCTGAGTTCAAACCCTAGTACCACCATCAAAAAGGAACTCAGATAGCATGGCCCTTCCCTTCCCTTCTCTTTGTTTTCCTTTCCCCTTCTGGTTCTCCTTTCCTCTCCCCTTCTGTGGCAATTCTTTATGTCGAATTTATTTCCATTTCCCCTCTCCCTCTCCATTCCCCTTCCATGGAATTATGTTGAATTTACTACTTTTGTTTTTGGAATGTTGGGTAGAATTGTTTTAGTGCCAGAGGAGAGAACACATGAAAGTTCTATGGAACCTAGTGAGTGCTCTTAAATAGTAGCAGTAGAATTTTTTGATAGAAGATTTTTATGTGTGTGTGTATGTATGCACACGCACACTATAATTTTGTGAATTTAAAGTATAATGTTATTCTTCTTTATTTTAGGCATATTTATCATTACTATATTCATGGCCCAAAAGGAAATGAAATACGTACATCGAAAGAAGTTGAACCTTTCAACAATATAGATATTGAAGTAAGAGAATCAGTCTTAAATTACTACAAATTGTTAAGTGTCTATTTCCATCTCAAGTAATTCTGGATAACAGCAATCAGTCAAAAATTAGACAACTTCTTTCTCCTTGTCTTTTACCAAAGTACTTTGGTTATTTGGATATACAAATAAGGAAATCATTTCTAAAGTATTTTTCCTGACCCTTTATTTGTTGTAGTACTTGGTTTCTTTTTTCCTTTCTTCTGTAGAGATGAATTGTGGATGAATATCATGCCTTGAAAGCAAGGAGAAAAAGGGATATATATGTATATAACATAGTTTTTCTTTTGTTCTTGGAAGTCTTATGGTGATGAAAGATTTAGAAGAGCAGAATATTTGAGTGTTGGGTTCTTAATATCCTTATCCACATTAGAAAGAATTTCACTTAAAATGTTGTCCTACTTTTTACCTCCTTCAGGAAATCTTGAATTAAATGTACTCAAGAATTTTCTGTCCATCTGATTTGCTGTTTCTTTGCTTTCTTTCTCTTTTTTTTTTTTTTTTTTGTTGTATTTTCTTTATCAAGATGCTACTTCAGGCTATTTGATCATGGCTGAAAAAAAGTCACATAGAACTTAATTATTTTTGTTTTATTTTTATTTTAGATTTCTATGTTTGAAAAAGGGAAGGCACCTAAGATTGTCAACCTGAGGGAAATACAAGATGACATGCAGACGTTGTATATAAACACAGCATCTGATAGTTTTGAGTTCAAGGCTCATGTTGAAGGAGACGGTGTAGTGGAAGGGATTATCCGCTATCATCCTTTCTTATATGATAGAGAAACCTATCCTGATGATCCATGCTTTCCGTCAAGTATGTTAACCTCATCTCTTAGCTCAAATGTGCTGTGACTTAGGATAGTGATTTACTTAAATAATTACTAGTTGAGGTATTAAGATTAGATAAATAAATATGAAACGTTTTTTCCTTATTCAAGCCTTAAGTTATTAGATATTTGTGATTTTTAACCCTTGATTTTGTGTATATTCAGTTCCAGATGGAAAAAGCACTGGCCATAAGAAGCTGTTCTTTTAAACCTCTTACTGAAGTAAATTTTTGGATATGTATTCATGCTAATCATTTATATATTCCTGAGATTATCTTCTCTGTACATTTATTTGTAAGGAAGTTTTACACTTTATGTAGTCACATCTGTTCAGTTTTTTCTTTATACTTTGATTTTGTCTTGCCATTGAAAAGCTTTTGCACCTTTAAATTTTAAAAAGCGCTGGGGGACATGCCTCAAGTGGTAGAGCGCTTGAGGTCCTAAATTGAAACCTCAGTACTACCAAAAATACAAAAAAAAAGCCCTGATCCTGTAGTGTTTTTGGTTTTTTAAAATTTTTGTCATTTTATGTGTAATGCATTTCTGCGTTTTCCCTTTTGTTTGTAGAGTTGAAGATTTAATTTAATTTTCCATTTGGGTTCATTCATTTAAGAAACAACCCTAGTGGGATTATTGGGTTTGCACTGAATTTATAAATTAATACTAAATCTTCTCATCTACAAGTTTTAAGTTGTTAGGTATTTGTAATAGTTCCTTAGTACATCCCTACTTTTCTGAGTTCTGTAGTCAAATTTCCTGATTTGCAACCCCTGTTTGCCACTTTCCTATTGTGTAATTTTGGACAAACTACCTTAGCTTCCTCCTATCTGAAATGGGTGCAGTAGTTTATACCTCAGAGAGGTACTGTGAGGTTTAAATAATAAACCAAAGTCAGGTGTTGGGAGCAAGCCTGTAATCTCAGCACTTATGAAGCTAAGGCAGAAAGTTTACTAGTGTTCCAGGCTAGTCTGGACTGCATAATGAGAGCCTGTCTTTAAAGAAAAAAAAAAAAAAAAAAAAAAAAGGAAAGAAACTGAGGTAAGTTCTTAGAATCATGCCCAGCACAGTTTAGAAAGTGCTTAGTACATCTTAATACTCAGTGGTTGAGTCTCCTGTGGTGTTTCTCACCTCTGTTTAATTTGCTATTTCTGATTTTTGCATGCTATAGACGAAAAGATACATCAAACGATGTCTTCAGAATGAGAGCCAATAAGATGAGTGATATGCAAAAGGTTCTCTCATAAGAGCAAAGTGATATAGTTTGATTGAAAAAAACTTTCTTACAAGGGCTTTTTGGAAAGAGAAGGCTTTATTTTAAGTTGAGGGCTTTA